ACGGTTCGAAGAGGAGACCGCTCCTCGCACCGAATCACCCCCCCCTCCCCTCAACACTCTCCATGTCATTGTCGCGGTCCCACCCCAACTAAGCAACGCCGCTTCCACGCTACCTCATCGCTCCACTGAGCCTTTACGCAAGAGGCACCTGGTGATCGCTGGTGACCAACTGCCAGCCCAGCCGGGAGCGCCAGTTACCTTGGAGCCACAGTCAAAGACGTGAGCCATGGTTGTCCGGGCACCCTCAAGCCCTTTGCTGCCTTGAGGCCACAGCGCAGTGTGCCGAAAATCAACATCCAAAGCCCGCCAGACCTAAGGAGCCTTAGCACAATGCGGCAGCCTAGACCATAATGGAGAGGGCAGCCTGGAACCAGACTGCTGAAATGACACTTCACCGACTGGCTCCTCTCAAGTCTCCACCAACCACCTGAGTGGCAACGAGGGGGGCAGTCTGAACCACAGTGCCGCCTGCAATGAATCCACGGTAACAGTAACGGCGGCGGAAGTGATGACTGGCCATCATGCTAGTGGGCACAGCAGCGGTGGTGGCTACTTTGGATGCAGCGGTGACAAGTGGGGGCAACTGCGGCATCCATCCATAGCAGAGGGCTAATCGCAGGAGGGCACAGATTGGGAACCACCGTCCTAGCTTTCCTCGATGATAAATAACAAATTATTCTCATGTTTCAGTCTCTGTCATTTGGGGGCTTTCTTAAGGGTAGGAGGATGTGGGGAAGCACGTGCACCCATATAGTTCTATTCCCTTTTACGGCAGCGCGGCAGCCTAGTTACAAGTAGATGTCTGTTCCTTCGAGAAATGAGACATTGAAGCCTCTTGCGAAGAGACCTGTTACCACGCGGCCGGTGCACACCATTCTCCATTTTTCAGCTTGTGATATGGGTTACCCTTTCTCAGGGAGGGAACCAACCATGATTGGAGACAGGGAAGTGTGTTTACAAAGGACTAATCAGTGTGTTTTATGAAGGGCTAATCAAATCCACGATGGTGCACAGCCACACAGCTCGAGAAGAGATTGCAACTAGGCTTGTGAAAATATTTTAGCGCTTTGATTAGAATTTAAATTTGAAATAAGCGTGTCTGCTTGTAAGGGTGGTTTCACTGCAGAAAATATGTGTTGTACCGTGAATACACCTTTGCAGAAAAAGCATGTACTGCCAATAAGCTTCATTTTTAAGGTTTTATGAACACATCAACCGCGCATCGATTCTTCCTTTTTTCAAGTCGGCATAAGCCTGTGTAGCAAGCTTTTAAGCATTTTATTCAAGCTTATATGTTTTTACTATAGTAAATTTTACAACTTTGCCTATTTTACAGGTTATTACATTCTCCCGAAAGTGAAATCCTGCTACTACTAAAAGTTGCTTGCACTTCCCTTGAATCAATGAGAATGCCATTTCCAGATAAACTATTGAAAATGACAGGCTTTGCAAAGGTAATCGGGTAGAATGAACCAGGTGCGCAATGAAACTTGGGAACTATTCAACGTATTCACGAGACTGAGCTTGGGAACTAGATAAACGATGAAACCTTCAAAAAGGAGGCTTTGTATTTGAAGGAAAATTCATTCTAATCACATTGTGAGCATCTTGGTAATAGAGTAAATGTTCATTAATTTGAACTCAGGCGGGACCATAAAGTTGTTCGAATCAAGCGGAGTTCAAATTAGCGGGCAGGCGCTTGCCGACGTTATGCCACACTGTGCGGAAACAACCCAGAGAAGCCACCTGTGGACTCGCTCCCGCAAATTAGGCAATACAGTTAAACCCTTTTAAAAGAGGCATGCTCTGGGCAGCGATTCTTGTCTTCTATATGGGACATCTTTTATAAGCAGGTGACCTCGTCTGCATTTTCTTATCCATCTGTATTTTACTGTAAGCACTGTGGTGTATTTTATACTCGTTTGTCCCTTACTGTAATTACTCGAATCTAACGCGTACTTTTTCCGGTTAAGCGAGTTCATAAATCGCATGCGCATTAGAATCGAGTACGAGAAAAAAAATTAATACGGTCATTTTATTGCCTTCGGCATTTCCAAAATGGCTGCTCCATACGTGCATCAGCATGGCGTGTTGGCCATTTCTGCCTATGTGTTTCCCATGTACGGCACTTCGTACGTGTGCTGAGGAGTTCATCATTTTGTAATGCATTAGCATCGATGGCATGGAAGGACTGACTCCAAAAACTCAACGAGTGCACCACGATGCCTCTTTTAAAAGAAAAGTCGTTGCGTGTGCATAAACGGACGGAAATCGGGCCGCATCGCGGTCGTTTGGAGTTCCCGAAACATGCTGCGGGACTGGCGGAAACAAAAACAGAAGATTGTCGACAGCGAAGCTTCACACAAAGGCTTCAGTGGACCACAGCAGGGTCGATTTCCGCAAATTGAAGAGCTGCTCGTTGTGTATGTGGTTGAGCAGTGAGCGGCACAGCGCCCCGTGACGACAGAACTGCTCCAAGTGCGGGCTATGCAGTTAGCCATAGAAAAAGGGCTAATGCGGAGCCAGTTTAAAGCGAGCAGGTGCTGGCTAACTAACTTTATGAAGAGGAAAGGCTTTTCCTCTTGGAGGAGTACGATAAAAAGCTTCACAGTTTTCAGAGGTTCGTCCTTAACTTGCGGCACAACAACGGCTACCTGCTTGGGCAAATCGGGAATGTCGATCAGATGCCTCTTCACTTCAACATGCCTGGCACCACAACCGTCGAGAAGAAGGGGGTGAAGCAAGTTCGCGTGCTGACATCGGGCCACGGTAAAACTAAAGGGGCGGCAATGTTGTGCTGCACGTCAGATGGGCACAAGCTTCCCCCGTACCTCATATTTGAACGGAAGACGCTTTCGAAAGGAGTTGTTTTCCCGAGTAGTGTGATCGTGCTGGCCAACGAGAAAAATGGGTGTGCGTTGCAATCGATGTCTTACTTTTTTTTTGTAACGCGCACCTGGTCGTGGAAACCAGGTGCGCGTTACAATCGAGGGCGCGGTAGAATCGAGTTAATACGGTAGATCAGTCTCTCTTGTAAAAGGATTCGACTTTACTACACACTTGTGGCAAGTAATTTCGTAAATTTAGTTCATCCTCTAATAGTGAACAGAATTTATTCATCATCCAGTGATATGCTAGAAATGAGCAGCCGCTTGCATTCACAGTAGCCAAAATATGCAAAGCTATTTGTGCTCCGAAATACGCTAATTTACATGGCAAAGTGAGTGCAGTCAAAATTTTAAGCTTTTTTTTCATATACAGCAGTAGCAGCAGATATTTACAACCATACATAAAAATCATACATGTGTTTTACACAAATAAAAGTAACGAATAATTTAGGTGATCATTCTGGGCCAATTACATACAGCAGTAGCAGCAGAAAGACATTTACAATCATAAAAGCATTCATGGAAGTCATACATTTGTCTTACGCAAAGGAAAGTAATCAATAATTTGAGTAGTCATTCTGGGCTGATTTCTGCGAGGAGGGTCGAAAGCCAGGGGGCCCCCATTTCGAAGTAACCTTTATGAATACTGACGCATTGATTATCGAGATTTTTCACCACAGAAATAGTTTAGGCTGTGCCGGCACAAGGGTGTCAGTTTTACTTGACAATTTCGTGACCGTGCCTATCCTTATCAATAATATGTTTTTGATGTTTTCAACTTCAATACTTGCCCCTTTCAGAGTGCTTTTGGACTCTCTGTGCTGTCTAACGTGTAAAAAGAAAAGTATTTTATCAGTTTCGCTTTTCTGTTTCTCTTTTTCACTGCGTGGCGACTTTAGAGCGTCTTTCCACGCGCGCGAGTGAGTGTGCATAGTTTCAATCATGGCGTCGACGTCGTGTGTGACCTCTTCATTAAAACAGCGAATTTTGGAGGATTCTCGTGCATTTGGGCTGAATTATATGATGACAACAGCACAGGCTCGAAAGACGACATCGACACTTTTGATTTCAGTTTGGACGAGGAGAGTTCGTCAAAGCGCCCCGTAACTTCAGAGGTCCTCCACCGGCGAGTTTAGCTTTGTGCTCGGGCCGTGTTAATGTCGGCGCGCTTTTGTGCAAGTTAATCCGATGTGTTCTGAAGGTTAGGGCTCATATTTGTGATGCGTCCACTTCCTTCGGGCGGGACCACTTGCCGGCAGCAGCACGGAAAGTGCAGGCTCGTGCGCAGAGGCAGTCGGAGTGAACCTTGAAACCTTGAGCGCTGTCGACTTTTTGTTTTTTACAGTTCAAGTTATTGGAGAGCTATGCAAAAGCATAAATAAATATGCTTGGACGCATATTTTTTTCATAAGCCGACGTAAAGTGATAGAGACGGCTCTTGGAGGTCCCACAGTTCGTCTTGTTGCTGCTACACGGAACGCTCCTCAGGGCCATCAGCCCCAGCTAAAAAAAAAAAGAAGACAAATTGAGGAACTGTAAATTATGCTATATACAAAGAAAAGCTGAACATAAAAAACATTTTCTGTGAAGGAGCATGGCAAACCTGTGTTTTACCTCATTACGAAGCTGCTCTTCACAGTGGCGTGGAACACACCATGTGTGATGGTATTTGATGTACACAAAAACTTTCGTATTTATAATGCTTATATTTATAGGATGATTGTGTGCATTCTGTGGCTTAAAATGTAATTTCGATTTTTTTTTGTGCTTAGCCTGTTCAGTGTTAATAGTTCTGAGAAATTCCTTTGTTTATGTTTACAATGTGTTTTGTTTGATGATTTTTTCATACTATTGTTAATAAAGTTGTGGTTTTGAGCTAACCGTGTTTGAAAGATAACTCCTAGGTGTACAATTTGATACCATAAGCACTAACATCAGTAACTTTGAGTGCCATAAAAAAATTACGTTTTCTAAACTACCCAAGAACGGCGCAATTTTTTGCAGTCACGAAAGTGTTAACTGTAAGTTCGAATTGATTGAGTTCAATTGAGTCATCTTTTATGGTAGTAGTTTTGAAAGAACCGCATTCTCACATGAAGGTGCTCTGTGCAGTTGGTGTACCACCTAGACGAAGAGTGGCCATCCGTGGGCGCCTTTGATGTGGAGCCTTCGACGGGGAAGGTGGTGGTACGCACACACTTGGATCGGGAAAGCCAAGCTTCCTTCGTGCTCATCGTCAGGGCCGAAGACCAGCCAAGCTCAAGTGCGCCACTGACGGCTCGCGTCACCTGCTTCATCAGCATTGAAGATGTTAATGACCACAGCCCCACTTTTGCTTCGGCCGCAGAGGTTTCCATTGCGCCTGATGCTCCCGTGGGTGCTGTCCTGCAACAGCTCATTGCTATTGACCTGGATGCCGGAGAAAATGGCCACGTTTTTTACCATGTAGCCGGGGGAAATGATGCGGGCTACTTCTCTCTCGACCGCAACACTGGTTAGTCACTGTCAGTCACTTCTTCTTTTCTGTCAAGTGCCTTATGGGTCTCTGATGTGATATCATTACGGGGTTGGCCGCATTTCTTAGTTTTCGGAAACGGTGCGGCCAGAAGCGATGAGGGACGATATGCGCTTGGCCGTGGCAAACGAAACGATGGGCGACATGCTTGTGGCAAATGAGATTGGTGCCCACGTGGTGAAGGTGAGCGGCTGTACCAAGTGTTCCGAGAATCGTCAACGACGTTGGACTCAGGGGCAGGTAAAAAGATGTGGGCAGTATGGTTGAAACGGGTCATATAGGTCGGTGCGCAAACAACCGAGGACTATGTGTTGCAGCAGTAGCGAGCAATATGTCCAATGTGGTGGCAGTTGAAACATATAGGGTGGTGATCTACAGTTCTCCACTTAGCCGAGTTGCGACTACCTGGAGAAAACTGTCGGTTGGAGGAGAACATTGCGAAAGGGTGTTCGCTGACTCTGGGAGCGGTGACAGTGCACACGAAATGCACTCAAATATTTTCTAGCTACTGGCGAACGATAGCTTGAACGAGAGGAACGATAACAGGGGTGGCATCGGTGCTGCGCGAATAGAATGCTGAGGGTGCCATTGCTTCCAGTTCGCGACAAACAATGCGTGTCAGGTCCTCCGGTGGCGATGGACATTGTGGTGTAGACTGGTCTTCACAAGTTGACGTTGCAGTGGTATTTGGGAGTCTGATGAATGGTTGCAAAATATGGCAACTTCTCACTTGATTGAATTGCTCGAATTGAAGACACTCTTTGATTATTGCATTCACGGTGGAAGAACCCTTGCGCATCAGGATATTGAATCCGGCGATTCCTTTCAGCGCATGCTCGACCTTGCCACTTTCCGTCATGCGACTGTCGGCCTTTTGGCAGAGGGCCAGCACGTATTGGATGTATGACTTCGTGGGGGATTGGGCACGGCAGGCCAATTCCTTTTTGGTGGCAATCTAATGGCCGGTGGTTTCGCCAAATACCTCTCGCATCTTTCTTTGCATTGGTCCAAGCTAGTGAGTTCTTCATTTTTTCGTGCCACACCTTGGCCTTGCCTCTCAAGTAAAACAATACATTAGCCAACTGAAGCGTGTGATCCCATCTTTTCGGCCCATTCGCACATTTAAACATGGGCAAACAATCTTCAATGTCGACACCAATGGTCTCGCAGAATTACAAGTATCCTTAGGTGGTGTGAAAACAAATGGGGGCGACACCGTGTTTGATGGAGACGCTGACGTTGACGGTGAACGCTGACGTTGACGGTGGAGACGCTGACGCTGACGCTGGCGGTGAACGAGGAGAAGATATTCACCCGAGTGCACGTGCGCAAGCCCTATAGATGCAAGAGATTGGTAGGAAAAAGGCTTTTGGCATGTGACTCGAGCTGAGAAGAAAAGTTCCAGAGGATGAGCTGGCACTGTGTGTTGGGACGCCAAGCTGTGAAGACGTGGGAAAGGAGCGTCACTATCGCGACCGGAGCAGGATAATCGCCCGGTTCTGAGGATGTTGGCACGAAAAGCTCGGGAAGTGGCTGTCGACCTTGGAGATAGTCTCGAGTGAGACTGCCCGGACTTGCTGCATCCTGCCCAGCAGTTCCTGGTAAACTTGCAGCTTCCCTACATCGCATTAGGAAGGGAGCAGCCCACACCAGTCATCTGAGTGGCCGCGTCAGCGGGGAGACCTTCATGAGTGGGGCCTAGTGAGGCCGAAAATAGAGACAAGGACCGAAACACAGGCAATGCAGACTAGTGGATCGTCAAGCGGACACGCACTGACAACGATGACGGCGAGGCAGTACCACTTCGTCGTAGCTCCAAGGGTGGCATCTGAACAGTAAAGACGTTCTGTTATTGCCAGAGCACATGAGAGCAGCCACCAAAATGACATCTTGGCTAAGGACAATTCAGGCGAAAGACTGAACTTGTCTTGGATTTATATTAGTTATTATTAGGTTTTGCTGTATAGCCAATTGTGGGCATGTTTCTGTTTGTGCGTCGATCTGAGTGTCGGATTACTGTTTTTTATTTTGTTTGGGGTGATAAAGTGTGTTTGCCTTGCCACACTTGCGTCTTTCCTCGCCGTCTCTCTCTCAAATACATCCTTTGCAGCTCTCCCGAGATAAAGTTCGTAACAGGTGCCCCGTCCTGTTGCAAGAGGCTTTGTTGACTTGTTTCTCGAAAGGACAGACATGTCTTCGCCACTAGGCTGCCACACTGCCGTAAAAGGGAAAGGAACCATATGGGCACACATGCTTCCCCACATCCTCCTCTCCTTATGAAAGACCCCGAATGACAGAGGCTGAAGCATGAAAATATTTCGTTATTTATCATCGAGGAAGGCTAGGACGGTGGGTCCCCACCCGTGCCCTCCTGCGCTTGGTCCTCAGCCGCGAATGCCGCCAGTGCCCCAGCTTGTCGCCGCTGCATCCAATGTAGCCATCATCGCTGCTGTGCCCACTTGCGTTATGGCCAGTCAATGCCACCACTGTCGCCTTCGCCGCCAATACTGCTGCAGTGGACCGGACTCTGGTAGCACTCTAGTCCGCACTGTGCCCTGTTGAGTCCCGCCACTCAGGTCATTCGTGGCAACTGAGAGTAGCCAGTTAGTGAAGTGTCTCGTTCAGCACTGGTTTCCGACTGCCCTGTTCAGCATTGTGAGGACTGCCACATCGGGTCAAGGCTCCTCTGATTTGGTGGGCTTGGAATTTTCATTTTTGGCATGCTGCACCATGGCCTTGAGGTAGTAAAGGTCATGTAGGTCCGGACAAGCATGGCTCTACTAGGTGGTGACGTCCCCCAGACTGCAGCTCCGATGCAGCTGGCTCTCCCGGCTGGGCTGGCAGTTGGTCAACAGGCACTGCTTGCGTAGAAGTCCGGTGGAGAGGGCAAGGAGGTAGGGTAGAAATGGCGTTGCTTGGTTGTCAAGTGGCCACGATGAAGACATGGAGGGCGTTGGGGGGTCATTCGGCGGAAGCATAGAGTTTCCTAAATATAAATTAGAGGGAACTCTGGCGCTAGTGTCTGTGGGAGCTACAACGCATGGTACTTCAGCGAGCATGGGAATTATGTGTAGTACACGGATTTGTCTAATCTTCGTACTTCTGGCTCCATGTATGTTTGTGTGACTTGGAGCTGTTTTTTTACGAAACAAAATTGGCAAATGTTCAGCGATGGCGCTTCACCACCTTCATCTTTTAGGCTTATCATTTCAAATCGGGACACGAAGTTTGGAATGGTTTGTTCTTTCCTTCGAAACAAAAACTAAACGCAGCAGTAAACGAAGCCACAAGTGTGATTCGCTGTCCATAAGTACGAAGACTAGGCAAATTCGTGTACTTCTTATCTATTTCATGGTCGTTGAACGATCGCAGTGCCAGAGTCCCTTTTAGTTAATTTTAGGAAACATGGGCGGGAGGAGCGGTCTCCTCTCCCAGCCGTCCCTGCGGTACCTCTTTCTCTTTCAACTATCTGTCTGCTGAGTGAAAGTCAACACAGAAAAAAGGAAAGGTTAACACTCGCACACGTCTTGCTTGTGAACCCTTGCACCTCGCATCGAACATGTTAAACGTGGCCTGCTGTGGAGAGTTGTCTCCGCCTGTTACACAGGAAGTAACGCAGTTCTGTGCTCCTCACTCGGTGTCGAGAAATCTCACCCGCCGCCTGCGGCTCAGAGGAGGACTGGCCGTAGTCCTTATGCTTCTCCTGTGACGTGTAGCGTTTCAAGTCACAACATATGGGCATCGCTCCGCCGCTCAGTTTGTAGTGTACACGTATCTCGAAGGATTACGGCCACTAGCGTGGATCCGGTCTTAGCAAGCCGCAGGGCACACGTTAACTGTCGCCATGGTCAGAACATGTTACTGCTCAAGGTCGCAACACTTTATTGTCTGCGCCAACATCAAAACGCGGTACAGTGCCCGTCGCAAAAGGTGCAGCAGGAAAGCAAACGGGCTTATCGACGCCACAGTTGAGAAGTACTACACGGAGTGCCACGAGCACGTCTCCGTGGTAAAAGTGATTTACAGAGACGACGGGACAAAGGCCTTGCAAAGGAGCTCGCGTTGGCTTCGAAGAGATATGGGTCGGCGCAGATTGACGATGCACTAGGACACCACACCGCTCTTCGGCCTAGCATTCGAAAAGGTGTAACAGAATGTGAGCGTTCGCCGCGAGTGCAAGGGGCCGTAGCAGAAGTCACACGAGCCCCAAACAATAGGAGCGGGCGGATGGAAAACAAACACGTGTTCACCCTCAGCTGTCCCGAAGAAATGTGACTCACTGTGATGTTTTCTTTATTATTTTATGTAGATGACATTGTCACGCAGTTATCTGACTGAATCTACGTGCTTATCTGTCTGCCTGAGGTTTATCGCTTAAAAGCGGCTCGATGTTCGAAAATGAACATTTTGTTGCTAGTAGCGCTCTGTCCTGCCAATCTATCGCTTCCTGTTTCGGTATTTCGCCTCGCACTACAAAAAAATCCTTTCGTATGCATCACCAACAAGCCCACACTGCAACTCTCGTTGGCCACAAGCATGTGCTTGATGTTGCGATTGACTGGCTCTGTGGAGTTTGACTGAGCATGGTAGGTGGTTGTTGTCTTGCGATTAATGGCCAACGCTGCACATGTGTCAAAAAACACCTTTGCAGTGAAATTAGATGTGTTGTCTGTAATCAACTGCTCAGAGAACCTGATCCTGACAAAAACCTCCATCAAGTTCTCCAAGATCACTCGAGCCGTGAGCTTCCTAAGGGGGAAAAGCTCTACCCATTTAGTGAAGTGATCCGCGACCACCAGCAAGAACTTGTTTCTACTAGGAGTTGTGGGGTATGGTCCCATAACGAGACATGCTGTAAATTGCTAGGCGGTCATTCGCCTCGTGGCTTGATGCTTTGGCACATGCGACATGAACAGGCGTAGCAAATCACATCCCGCTTCATGCCAAGCTAGGTAGCGAGGAGACACAACTTAGCATAA